GAGCCATCTACGAGTGTGTAAATCAAATTGAAGAACAGTCGACTGCGAAAAGGTGTCAGTTAAATGGAATCCAGGTGCAAGCAATTATTTTCTTTCTAAACAAAATTTATTTGGCTGAATTGAACATAACATAATCATTAACGAAGAATATAAAAATTATACTTTGGAAGTTATCCTACCGCTGATCGAGTAGGTACCTAAGAGGAAATAACATATAAGTGTCGAAAGCAATAAAAAATCCCGTCAAGTAGACGTTGGGTGATCTAACAAGTGGCTACATAATTACAGTAATCGTTAATGTCAAGCAAACTAATTTCACGCATTAATTCCTACTAACTACTTGCTAAGTGCTTACTCATTGGCTTGTCAGCGCCGCCAGGGTCCGTGCTAATCTGTGCACAAACGTCTATGGTTGCATTTCGTTTTAAATCAATGCAAGCTGTCACGCCACCTTGTCTATTAAGTCTGACGTTGACGGTATCTCCTTACTCAAATTGCATTACAAGATATTTTTATAGTTACATTTATTATGTCGGTTGCTATAATTATCATCTCCTTTTCTGTACGTGACTTCAATATTTTCTATTTATATTTTCTTTACGATTTTTCCAATACTTTATCTTTCACTTTTCTATCATTGGACCCGTACCCGTACACAATTTTATCGTATGCACTTACAGTGCATATATTTTTGTATCAAACACAAAAAAATAAGCATCAAATTAAACAAGGGCTCCCTTTAAAACAAATAAAAAGTATACTTGGTCCATTAACATCCTTGAAACCAATAAAGCTGAAGCGCAATTATTGCTAGATTTATAGCTAAACATTTTGCATATTCATTTATTGAGTCGAGTGGTATAACAAGGCTGGTTTATTGTAAAACTATTTACTTAGTGATTTCTCGGAATTGTCTCCGGTGAGTGAGTACCAACCACGTGCGTAGTCGTGTCGCTATTTTATGGCGAAATCGGTGTGACGTTAGCATAACTACGCCAATACACACAACTACATTAAAAGTACGCATATATGGTTGAGGCCCACATACATGTTTTATGTAAGTACACACACCCACACATACATAACCACCTTTTAATCCTAACCGGGTAATCAATTTTAGGTCGGTTTCGTACCAAAGGGGTTCTTTGCACGTAACCACATTTAAATCTATTAGGGTTTAAGTGTTAATGAAATAGGAGTTTATGGAGGAAAGACGTCGCTTATAGCTTTAATAAAATTTATTGTTGGGTGAAGCAGCATGAACATTGGCGAGTATATTTCGCTAGAAGTCATTAACATAAACAATAACGATGTAAAACAGATGGCAAGCCCAATTACTAGAAATTAGTAAATGCCAAGTAGTCGCATGCACAACTGTCATTATAATTATTGGAATTTATGAACAATCAATGTAAACACATACTTTAAAGACCAAATAAAGTTAAATGCTACGGGAAAGGTCATAATGAAACGATAATTTTGTGTCAACTTTGATGGAACGCAAAAATATATAAAACAAGCAGTATAGTGACTTATTGCTGGCAATAATTTTAATGAATGTGATGACAAACAAGACCCGGTCATATCACACAATCACAATGTAATCGCTAATTTGATTAAGACGTGATTCACTTCGCGCGATACGACAACACAAGTGCAATCACGATTGATAGTTATTGAAAAAACTATTGCAAAATAACGTGAAAGAAATAAATAGAGGTGCATAACTCGAAGTAGTTATACAACCGGCGATAGTTAGGATGTTATTTACGTTCCCTGCAACGCAATGACAGGTTATTCCAACTCCAGTGGATGTATAAAAAATAATTGTACTTTTAAAAATATTTCTGAGAATTTTCTAGTGGTAATGATTGATGGTTTGCAATTGAACAAGTTGTTACAAGTGGATAATGACATAATCCATTGGTCCGACGGCCTAGAGTTTCGTATCACAAGCATTGTGAGTCACGCAAATATATGTAGACCAGTCGCGCTTTGTTAAGATTATATCAATATGCTTTATACCTAGATATTTATGACACAATCTCGTAATAATTTACAAAGCAAAGTGGTCGTTGACTCGTCATCAAAACATTTTCCGTTCCAAATTATATACAGTTACAATGTTATTCATAAAAATATGATACAGTATACCTACATACATACTTGTAAACAATTCGTTATTCGAAATAAATTGACATGACAAAGCCTTCTAAAAAATAAAATTGTTTTATTTATTGTTTAGGAAATGTTACGGATAGTCTCCATTGGCTTTTCTGATGAAACTTAAAATAGGGTACATTTTCTCGGTTAAAATAGTAGAGTTAAAGTACACACAAAAGATGGATGCTGCTGGTGACGGCGGATAGACGGCGGTAACGAGTAGGTAACGAGTAGCAATCACTACTTCTCGGAACTGTACTTGTTTTCGCACCAGGTGCACTCTTGCTATACATATTGATAAATAACACCTCCGTCAATTTATGCTCACTCAAATAATTCAATTCTAAACAATATAGATAAGTGCGAACTGACATTATTTGGCAATCGTTTACATAAAAATGTGAAATATCGTTATTAGTTGGGTGTTACTGTAACGAGTTTTTAAGTGGCAGTTTCAAAACATCCGGGTAAAACGGTAGATTGATTGTTGCGTGAGTTTATAGCTGATAAACCTCTAGAAGTAATTGTGGTCGAGTCAAATATTATTATTAATGGGTAATAAACTTAATTGATTTCGTCTCCCGGGGAATAACAAGAGTTGTGGCCAACTGCAGCGTTGCAGAGGTTTAAATCCAAACAGGAAATTAATTTCACTTCACTGAAGTAAAATGGAGCAGAGAGTGCGCAAACAATGCAACACAGTTACTTTGAAAACTCGCATACCGTACATGTGACGAAGCGATTCGATGAAATCGCACGACCAATTGATTTTTTTCACTTTGCCTACAGGAAAGTTCAGTTACTGGAACAACAGTTTGTTCACCAAGGGCATCGTTGTTAAAACTTTTACCAAGAACTAAAGTGGGCAGTGCATATACTGCATTAAATTAAATGGTTTTCGCTGTAATTTCAATACTATCTATAGCAATACTCATAAATACATTAGGGTAATTTTACCATTGAAACATGAAAATTGTTAAACAAACAGCTGTTTATCTAGCATCATTATCTAGTACATAATGTAGATTTATTTATTTGTGGATAAGGCATAAGTTCCCTGTTAGCGAGGGGAATGTTTCTGTCCCCCGGTAAAGAGAATTAAGTTCCACGAGCTTTGAAGGCTTCTGCTTTGTGACTGTAGTAGGCCCACTGTATGTAATCCCGCAATAACTTAAACGTTCCTACATTTAAAGTTTATGTTACTTTTACTTTAAATAATCGGATTAGTTAATGGAAACCTTTTAATATGTATTTTCTAAGAGGAAAAAACAGATATTTAGTAGTATAAGTGTAACAACATAATTGTTATTTTCCTTCATAAAGAGATATAGCGTGTCTTGTAATCTTCAGCTTTTTATTAAAAGTTTTTGGAGCGGGCAAAGAATGTCTTGTACAATTTTTGTACGGGTTACGTCTGTGTAGTATAGACTACTAAAATCTATAATGTCAATCTGATGTCAGTCGCATTACATTCTGCGTCATTAGCCTCGGCGATAATGACGTCATGGTGACCAGATCCTGTGTGAGCAACATTCGTCGATATCATTTTCTCACGGCGATCCGTCATTAATATTTTGTAGACAGTACAGGCGGCGGCGATGTAAGCGCAGTATGGCACCGTAGCACGGAGGAGCGGGGCAATGGCCAGCCCATTGTCACACTAGGCGATTATCAATTATTTTTGCGCACACAATGGACTTTATTTCCTAGAAGCTTTGTGCTTATCGGCAGCGCGCAGCGGTAGCGCACACCTGCCTGCTCTCCGCCCCGAAACTTCCAGCGATTCATCAAATAATATGTATGGTTCTTTGAAAATTCAAATATCTGTTTGCACTTTATAGAGCATTGAACGATAACACGATCCTTTGTGTTTTAAAGTTTCGGTTTGATATTAAAATTATCGAATGAAGCATTGAACTTACAAAAAAAACATAATAAAATTGATGAAATAACCGGTATTGGGTATGTAATTGGCAGGTTTCCGGTGACACAAAAGTTCTAGCCAACATAAATACAGTACCTGCGTCTGTAGGTTTCTTGAAAGAAACTTGATATTTTTGCTTTATTAATGTAAACCTTTAGTTTTGGGCATTTATTACTAAAGGGTAGACACGTCTCACATATAGCGTGTATGTGTATATTTATTTCTATTTAAAACTTAATGTCTTGTTAAAATCGAGTTCGCATCACAATAAATTTCAACATCAGCTTATGTTTTCAGTAAAGGTACCTGTCATAATTAATCTACACTACAAGACCTTTTACCACCATTTGAATAATTACAACTATCTATAATATTATTGTCGGAATACTCAAACGCTACTCAATTTTAAGTCGCGCTTAAGTATAGTTCTGTCTCTACAAATTCTTTGTAAAATGACAGAGATGGCACGATATTTAAGCACGACTTAAAATTGAGTATCGTTTCAGTATTTCGGCATATGTTATGTAAATTATTCGTTTTATTTAATTATTTATATAAAGCACAATATTATCACGTTTTCCCCGTTTATTTACTAGAATCGAAAAAATCAACTCTTCTATATGACACAGTAAAAGCTTTATTGATTGAATTCCCGGATATCGTATCGTCGTAAAAGTGCGGGTTCTTTAAACCAACTTCATTGACATTCTAAACACAAAACCATGTATTTAGGAAAATATGTCAATCTAGCACAGTCCTTCCACGTTATTTTTATGTCTGGTCTACAAAAGAGACTGACTGACCAGAATTTGTTTCAGGGTTTCTTCTAAGGGTAGTTACTAGTCATCTAGATTAACTGAAATGTTGATAGGCAAAAGTGCTGTTTTGTTAGAGTATAATTAAGAAGACTTACCATTCAATACTCCTATAACCCTTCACGCAGCAGTGGATACTCTTGAACTTATCTTCAAAGCCGAATTCATAAGGCACAGGTTCTTTCGTGAACTGCATCCATGTGGTGTTCGTGTTAAAAGTGTTCACTGAACAGTAGCTGGCTGACTCTGCAGACGCCTTGCCAGACACGATTAGCAGCCCGAGTAGGGCACTCCACACTTTCCGCACACACATTTTTGATTTATTCTGGCATTCTGAAAAGAAAACAAAGCATTTTCAAAACCATGAAACGTGTCCGATTGGAACTAGTCCCTATTCCCCGACAAATACATAGAAATAGTTAAATTAACTACAATAATATTTGCAAAATAGAGTATCTAAGAAAATATTCATAAGTGTGAATTTCAGGGTTACAGAAAGCACATGGTCGCGGTGATTCAATAATATCATGAAAATGATAAGGAACAGAATTATAGCAGCGGGCGAGATATTATCTAATCAATGTGTTGTAATCAATATTTTAACTTAGTTATTACAAAGCATTCATAGAAATAAATAGCGCCAGTGAATCATACAGGGAAATACCTGAACAATTTACTTAGTTGTGGTTACAGTTTTTTGTAACACATAACATAATCTTTGTTAATAACTTGTTTATTGTGACAAAGGCTTATTTATAAACTAACCGATAAGATTATTATTTTGTAGAATAAGTTAATGACGATAATTCCATGAGACGAAGTTTGTCATTGGCGCCATCGATTACTGAAAGGTTAGGTTTAATTTGTAAAAACGGAATAACATGATATCACGAATAGTTGGCTTTCTGAAATTGATTCAAGTAATTAACTAGTGCGGAAGAATAGATATGCAATATTGAGTTGGTAGTAAATGTTTCTGAGCAGAATTAGTTCTGTAGATTTTAACCTTTGCGAGGAAAGGAGAGTATAAACAAGTAACATAACGTTTTTCAAGGAAATATTAGAATAAGAATCAATCAAGGAAAGATAAGAATCAAGGAAAAAATAGCTAGTTAACGTGTGTTATTCACTAAAAATATAGGGAAATGAAATCTGCAAGAAGAGAGCTACCTACCTAGTCAAATACAGAACTTAGCTATTAATTTATAAAATCAGATGTTATATCTATCTCGGAAAGATAAAATGTCTGCCATAATGCCAGTGGTTTTCCTTTTGGGTCATATTTAACTCAGACTTTACCCTAAAAGATTATTAATTACTTGATGGATGTATGATTGTATTGCGCATTGAATTGAAAGCCGTTTCGCTGAAATTTCCAACAGAATAAACTAACAAGGTAAACAGTAGGTTTTATAAAGAAAACATTAATTGTTAAACTACTATGCAAATAGCAAATATTCATAATTTGGATTGTAAATGAGTTATTATAACAGATCTTGGAAGTTCTTGCTTTAAGTGATATTCATTATACGCAAGCAAATACGTAGAGTGGGTAGACCTACGTAATCGCAAGTTCTTGTAAGTACTGATTGTACTGGTCATTTTTTTCTCTGCTTCAAATCCAACCTTCGATTCTAATCGCACTTTTTTTAAGCAGACAACGTCACGTTCAAACAGTAACGTCACATGTATTTCCCTTAATTGTGTCTCATTCATGAATTTAATATGTTTAAATGATACCTCAAATCGAGACAATGTGACTCATTGTTGTTACACTAAATAATATAATAAGGAAAATGTATATAAATAATGGAATTTACGTTACATGATAAGAACATGACCTATTGAAGAAATTATTAGCGAAAATAGGCATTATTTCTCGTGTATTTCGTACCTAGGTTTCTGTACCCGTAAAAGTTGCATGGTATTTATATAATTCATAACTTCTAGCAGCGACTAACTGTTGTTTCCCGAAACACAATAGGTAGAAGTTGAATGTGCGTAATTCTATTTCGTTGGAAAACTGAACGGGTTTCAAACAATGAACTAACAATCGGTCCAACTTCAGTAGAAAGTACAAGGATTAATTCGTATAATTGTTAAGTGAGTACCTAGTTGGTTTATCGTACTGTGATTGTTACCGGTCCTTCGTCCTGATATTGTTGTGGGTTTTAATACCGTAAGCAGTTGGTTTTATTACTTAAAGTAGACAAAAGAAATGGAACGGTGTGACGGCTTCGTCAAAGAGTAAATTGGCATTACCTGGGAGCAAACCCGATGCGACACCGGTTCAACTTTTATTGTTTTAGTGGCAATTCTACTTACCATTTGCAAAAAATAGAGAGTTTAGTGTTTTTTGTTGTAGCTAGCTTTAAATTTGTATGCAAACAAGTTGTATTGTGCCCAGAATGGTGTTTATTACCCATGTTTCCTCGACTCTCTAAACCCGACTTATTTTCTAACCCAGATCGCAAATCATATGAAATCAAGGCACAAAATCTGTAATATGATACGAAATGTTTAATATTATGTTAGTTACTTTAAAATATAAAATCTTTCGAATGAATTACTAAATAAAATGACCTAGGTTATAAGTAATTCCACGAATCGGCAACTGCGCGAGTGACGGGGCCCTAACCCAGCCGTTCTTAGAAAAGCAATACTTAATGGTAATGCAGTTGCCGGTTTTTTGGTAGGCTGTACATTTTACACGGTGAAGTAACTAGAAGTAACTTGGCACTTATTCCTTGTCGGACATAAATTATGATTTAAAAAAATGAGAATAAGTACTATTTTTTGGAAATTGTTTCTCGCAGGTGGCCTTATAGGAGGAAACATGTTTGTTTAATCAGTAGGTATAATGGCCTAAATAAATTATGACTTATCCTACTTTAAAAGAACAAGTCGCATCATGTGTTGAATGACGTAGTTAGATACTAGATAGGTACGATGTATGAAAGACATGTGAATCATGTTAAAGCCTCGGCGATAATTTGTGGGTGTGTCGTTAACAGAATAGGTAAGGACATGGATATAATAACTTCTAGCTCTAGGATATAATAACTTCTTTTCTATTCTTCCACTTATATAGGACTGTGCTCTACGGAATATAGGCTAAAATAATATTAGTTATGTTATGTTGGCATGGTAGGTACCACAAATTCAAGATAATTACAGACTTCCTCGTACTGCATTGTTTATTGTGTGCATCTCGCGTCATAGGGGATTTATTATTTGCTTCAATGCAATTCAGAGTGATCAGATTAGTTATTTCTTGATAACAGTAATGCAATAAATTACTTTCGCAGCTCTAGCAATTGGGTCGAGAACGAGATTGATTGAAGATCTCGAGATGCTGGAAAGTTATTGACGTTATTGTTAAAGTAGTTCGTTTCTCTAAAATTTAGGTCAGAGCAGAGCGTGGAAGGGAATTTTTTGTTTATACGTTTATACAAAAACAATTTTGACGGGTGAGCTATTAGGCTGATTTAAGGAAAGCTTTAAAATATGAAAGAATTAACCTCAATAACCGTCCATTACGATACTCCAATAACAAATTAATACATGAATGTACCTATTGCAGCAATAGGTAGGTAGGTACCTACCGCACGTTTCTGCGACTTCAAAGCTATCAAGTTTACTGAGAATGGGATCGGCAATAACATGGAACCGATAATATCACTATAAACGAAACATGTCGCTTAGCCTACGTGCTCATTTCAACCCAATATCGGCAGTAAGCAGCATCCGAGAACACGCCTCCGGTACATGGTGTATAGGTGCAGGTGTACGCTATACATACGTGTATGTATTTAGACGTAGCCAGTAGTTGCACACACGAGTTGTTCTTGTAATACAAGGACCACAAGCTCGTTCCGCGGTGAGGCGAGTGATTTTTGCAATTACCGACAGGCGGCACACATATCTGTCGGCAATTTGCCGCTCCTCCCGCGAGCTGCGCTGATCGGCTTCTCGGAAACGCACTTGCATCAACTGTGTACCCGGTTAGTGCGATTAACGCACTAATTACCGCGCGCCGAACCGCCTCCGTGCGCTGCCACCGCGCCGCGGCCGCATCCACATAAACCACCTCTTTCGGTCACAATTTTACATGTTCTTTTTTATTAATTAGTATCTTTTTTACCATACTTCGTTTTTTACTGCAACTAGTTTTTTATTTCTTGGAAAACATCTCTTTAATTTGTTTCAAGTAATTATTGTAATTGTAAGGTAAATACTGGAATAGCTATTAACCCATTTGGGACCAAATGCAAACTACACATAATTTAATAAAAAAAACTTTATTAACTCAATGATATGACGCCCACAAACTAATATCAGCAAAAAAAATTCAAAAAATATTTTTAGAAGTATTAAAAAAAATGCCGTCCTTGATTGGGGACAATGGGCTCATGTGTAGTACTTTTCGAAGTAGTAACTGTTTTTGACACATAAGGTTCTAACGCATTATTTGCATTGATATCACAGTTTTTTTATGACGAACTGCGTATCGTAACAGATATTAACTAAATCTCTGCGGAAAATGTCTAAATCAATTTGATGTGACGCTCCTATATTTTTTTTGAGGGTAAAAATCAAACATTGCGTTTTCCACCTGGGGGACTCTTACTGGCTAAAAACCAACACGTTCCTAATTCTGCTTCAAGCCGAAGCCCCGGTGACCCACTAGGTTATTCATAGTAGTCGGGCATCTGTCCCACTGAGCCATCTCGATCTAAGGCGGTCTGATCTGCACTTTGAAGCACGCGCGTAACGCCACGCACCTTACAGGTACAGGTCTGGTTCTGGGTGGCGATCTGTTCTTGCTACTATGACTGCTTCGCAAAAAGAGATGTTTTCCAGTTCCCCTCGCTCCGCACCACAGCCAGAACCTAAGCTGGACGTGGAAGATTATCGTCGTCGATCACTTCCCTGAAGACACGGCGGTGGTCAACGTATACAGGGCATAATGCTACTCTATCCTCTGGGTGGACTTCGCTGTGACGACACCAGAATAAAGCTGGAGGAAATGCCCCTACTGCTGAATTCTGATATCGGATGCGACGCCTGGTACTGTAGGTGGACTTTTGCATCTTCGGTCTTGATGCCTATCAGATTTTAGAATATGAACGCGTAAAGATATGGCGGAATTGGTGATGCTCTTCGTGAAATAGCGTCTGTTGTCACCAAGTATTAGCTATAACTAAGTTTAGCCTATAGGTGACCTTTATAAATTGGAAAACAAAATACAAATCAGGTATAAATGTTTTAAAAATATACTACAGATGTGCCCATTGTCCCCATACGGGGACA